ACGCGACGGTCGGTTATTTTTATATTTATAACGAACCCAATCAAGCAAATAATTACAAATGAATTATGCAACTAACAAGTACTGGAACAAAGTGAAATCCAGATTTGCGTCGATAATGCATCGCCAGGTATCAGAACGGGCGAGCATTACGAAACGATAAGTAGCGGTAATCCGAATCCACCCACTTAATGCGAACCAGCGATGAAGGCCGAAAATCTTTTATCTCTCATTTTCATTTTCGGCTTGCATTTCGGCCGCGAAGCTCGCGTATACGCGCGAGCCCCGACAAAGTCGCGGAGATAAACAACGACGGCGCACGTGATCAATATTACAGCCGGTGAAAAGTTTTTCCGACGCGTGTACGTGCCCGCTATTCACCGAATCACATCGCACTTTGTTATGAAAGTTCGCAAAGTAACGTGGATTTTCCGCGGTGTCTCGAAACGGACGTACACGCTAATGTGATTTTGCTGTTGTAGGCAGACAACGACACAGGTAATGTAATCGCGCGCGCAGTCACACTCTTGTTATGTAATAAATTTATATTTTCGGCGAGAGCGCAAAGCTCTTAGAAACCTTGTAATCGAATTACTAGACGTTACTGAAATTCGTTGAGATTGCCATTCTACGAAATGGGCGTGACGCTGTCGATGAATTTCAAGACCGCTGCTTTCGACAGTTGTTGAAGTTACATGAAGAATTATTAAGAAATTAAGAAATGCGCTGATAGAAAATATTTCCCGTGAAATATTCCCAATCAACGTTTCAACGTTCTCGGATATAATGAATGTTTATACAACAGGAAACTTGCAATTAAAATAAAAAATCTCTGGAATTCGGAGTATGCTTCAAAAGAATGGTTGAACAACTGCGCTCAGCGTAGGCAAACGGGAGCAAACCTACATTCGCAAAAATCTCCGCGGCACAATCAATAACAACAACGCATCGCGATGATTGATTCTTCGATCAACCAAACAAAACTAGATCCTCAATCCCAGAAATCTCCGTTGCACCTGTGTCAATATCGCGCAATAAGTGGGAGCTAAGGAAACACAGTGGGAGACGAGTGCATTCGCTCGGTCATCCCGCGAGAAGATGGAAGGGAAGGGAGGGAAGGCGAACTGTAGTAAAAGAGGGGATGACGCGCAGCATTTCTCTGCCCCTCTACTCCTCTGCGCTCGTTGACGTCGGGAAAAGCGGGACAGTAACCTGTAACCTTTCGCCGACCCAATTTCTACTCCGCGCGTAGAGCGCGCGATCAACGGGGTGAACGCACAATGGAACGTATACGCTCCTTATACCGCTTGCTGACGCAACGACGTTTCAATTGGCATAATTTTCCCATTCGACGTTTCATTTCATTCCGATTACTTTTCTCGAATGATCGTCTTCTTTTTTAGTATAATGCGATATTTTCTAATGAGGAGTTATTTTAATACCGATGAGAACAAGAAAAACTGATTGACTAGATTGAAAATAAAATGGGTGAGCTGACAAGTACAAATGTGCGTGTGTTTTATTTTTTTCGGGAAAATCTTAGGTTTGAAAGAATTAGAATGAGATTGCGATTAAGCGATCGAAGTTCAAGTTCCGTAATAACTATTCCGCAATTTCCAAAAAGGATATTCTTCGTACGAAAAATTGGGACGTCTGACTAAGGCCATTACTTATCTCATTACTTATCACCACCAATGCTAAGCATTTAATATTACAAATATCCACGTTATTTTCTCGTGAACCAAGTCACTGTCACAGTAGCGATATATAAATAATGAAAAAAAAAAAAACTCTTGCTTTTTTATTTCGTATCGATAATCAATGTTTCTAATAAGACCGAGAAACGAGAACGCGGCGATGCATGCCTCCTAGCATCCTTGAAGAAATTCAACTTTTGCCGAAGAAAAGGAAAAAAACATTGAAGGTATTTCCATACCCTTTGATATTCGCCGTAGGCGCGTGCAACGCCGTTACTTTATCGAGCAAACAACCTCCTGCGCGCCCGTTAATCAGCCCTCGAGCGTGTTAAATCGCTAAAGCGACGAAAGTTCAAGCTCTTAGCACAACTATCCTGGTTATGACGCAGTAGTGCCTCAAGATAGACAACTTTTTATTTTGAACAATGTGAGAATTTTCATTTGCGTTGAATTCTTCCAAGTTTACCCGGAGAGCTATGACGAGAGTTCGAGCCTTTCGCGAAGCAAAAAGAGAACAGCTTCTTATGCGTACCAGCGCGCATGAATTTTATCCGAAATTTCATAAAATCTTTTATAGTCGCCCCCACGCATCTCTACGCTAAAGTGGCCTCTTAGTAAGAGATTTTTCCCCATACTACGCTTAAAGTGGTGACCGCGCGTCCTCCTAGCAGGGAGCATAGAACCGCATGGACAGTCCGAGAGAAAAGTATCGCGCGCATGCGCGATTCACTTCACCTTTGAATAGTCGATGCCGTTCTGTGTTGCTTGCTGAGGGCGCAATATCACCCCTTTACGGGGGTGTGCGGAAAACTAGTATACGCAACACTGGACTACAAGTAGACAAACACACACTGTGTGAATATTACACGGTGCGTACTTTGCCTACTGTATTCCCTAGTAGAGTAATCTACTATTTATGGAACTTGTACACGCTATGTGTTATTTTAACAAGCTATGTTACCATAAGATTTAAATTATTATGATTTAAAGATGTTTTTTTATATTTTATTGCAGCAAATCACGCGTTATTTAACTTTCAAGTCCGAGAAAACTTGTTAGCTTATTTCTTTGGGCAGAGAGGAACTCATAGAATCTTCCGTTTCAAACGAAAATTAATATCTTTCACAAAGAGGACAAATGAAATTGTCTTCCCTATATTGGTACTCGCGTCCTGAAAATTCGAAGCTCGCTTGTTATTTACCGATTGCGGAATTAATATTGGCAATTAAGAGGGAAAATGCCCATGAAACTCTCTCCCTTGGAAATAATAATTTGCATTAATTTTGGAAAGAAAATATGCCTTTCATAAGATTCAACAAATGCTGGAAACTTTTAAGAGGTAATGCTTTTGCTTTTTTCTTCAATGGAAAAATTCTCCACTTTTTTAGGCACAAAAAGATAATAAGTATACACAGTTCACGCTGGTGCGCAGTTCCTATAAGTTGAAATATTGATTCAGAATGTATATATATATATGTGTAGAGGGGGGAAGTAAAGGGGTGGAACACCCAAAACGGAAATTAGTCTCCGAGTAAACCGTTGGCCAGCTGCCTGTTATCAGTCATAACTTTAAAGCGCTTCCGATAATAGTTGTGAGCAAATATATATATATATATATATATATATATATATATATATATATATATATATATATATATAGCCTATAATTTGTAATAAATCTGACATCGCGCACCCTCTAGTAGATGCACCAAAATCATCCTTTCACTCTACATGATGCTCATAAATAATGGATTTATCAAGATTGACCTAATAATAAAGAGACTTTTATATACGTTTCATGATTTATTGCCCTCTCGAATGATAAAGTTTGTACTGCATCGACTGACAGCCGCGCGAAACTTGATCGTTGAATATTTTAATGAAGCATTAGATACAACGCTACTTGTTTATCTGAGTTTATCTGAGCAAACTTGACACTTGCTGCTTTGACACACTTAAGAAACACTCCTTAACGAAGAGAATATAGATCTTTTCTATTCATAGTTAAAATCTATAAGGTCTAAGTGTCTCCATACGACTGCTCAGCTTTTTCTTTTTGTTTTTCTTCGCCTTAACGTCGTTCGTAAGAAAGCCAATGAAAACAGAAGACACATTTAACAGGCAGATAAATTATCAACGTAATATTTTTTTGTTTCGAAAAACGCGCGATTTATCGCTGCTGCCCTCAGCGAGAAGCAACACATACGTCGACCGTAAATTTAGCCGGCGACAAGTGCATCCAAGCAGAATGTGCTCGGCCTTCCGGATAAATATTGTTTTGAAAGTCATCGCTACGCCAAAGGCGTCGTAGCGTAATCTTCTCCTTCGTCTTATTGTGTGCGCCAGTGAACAGTCGAGTCAATCATCCGTGCCGGCTGATCGTTCGTTCGTTGCCGGGATATTACGACCTCCCTGCCCCCACTGCGGCCAATGTCGACGTCTCACGGGACGACGGACAATTTTTGGCGAGTTCGTACGCGTCTTCCTCCATCCCCGTATTCTTTATCCCGAGAATGAGTGGACGCCGATATTTTGCCGTTTGTTTATTTGGCAACAGGAAATGAATTGCACATCCAATCGCTTGTGATATTAAAGTTCTTTTAGAAAACAAATCTTTCGCACGAGACACATTAACGTTTAATATCAAATCTACCTGTCTGCGATAAGGCGAAACATCGAATGAATGCACGACGATAAAAGATCGCGCGCGCCAAGGTAAAGCTGGCGTGTAACGTCGAGTTTAGCTTTAAACGCACACATCTACGAATGCGAATGAAACCCTAAGAGCAAAGCGCTGCATCGGTGTGTAGATAACCAGATACTTTTACTTAGGACAGTTATCTAGACAAGATAAATAATTTAATTACGGGATCAAGCCTGCTCACACAATAACAAAAATAGAAAGGCTGCGATCGATTTGTGTAGCTCGGTCTTGTTAAAAATTCAATTGTCAGCGTATTCATTGTAGCCGCCACGCTCTATACCTATATTCGTCTATTTACGAAATGGAGTCACTGTGTTTTCTTTCTTTTATTGCTCCGAGAAAAAAAAATACATTGCAATAGCATTGAAAAAGACTCATTTGACTCGTGGATTTTTTATCAAACAAGAGTTCACGTCAAGACGTTGACACCGCAGAATAGAAAAACCAAAACAGTTCGCGCGACTTGCGTGGCGCTAATGAAACAGGAGCTACTAACAGTCAGCTCTACGAGCATAAAGTATGACTAGCACGCGTAAACGAAAGCAAAACAAAAGAGTTGTAATTGAAAATAATTAAAGAAAATGGAAGATGGTTGATTGTACCTTCATGGCTATTGCTGTACAACGACAGATTGCTGCATAGTTTGAGAGAAAGAGAAGGGGAGAGAAGTCCACACACGCGAAAAGAGAAGACAGTCGAGAATGGAAAAATAGAGAAATGGAGGAGAGAAAAGCGCACACGAATTGTTTTCGTTTTTTTTTTTTTTTTTTTGATCGCAACCGCTCGCCAGCGTACCTCACGTATTACTGGCGCGAGACTCGCGAGTAAAGCGTAACAAACCCGACGGCGCATGCGTTTCTATCATCATCCCCCTTCGCGCGATAGAAGGAGGAAGGGAGAGCGGAGGAGGGCGCCAGTAGGATAAGAGACATGTTCAAGAGGGCAGAAGGAGGAGAAATACTTTTCGAATGTATAGCAATTGCGACGCGGTGATAATGGCACAGCCGTACCAAGCATTGTCGCAATTAGCGATATCGACTGCGACTCTGCCGTATTACTTTTTAATTATGTCTTTTCTAATATGCATATTACGTGCTGTTTGCTCATGGAAAATTGCTCGCGTGTAGTGTTGAAAGAATTTTCGTTGCAGTGTTTTCGGACAGATTATATGTGAACGTTGGATCGAAATCGATTACTACTACTTTGCACAGTATATTCTCGAAATTACGGTCTTAGATTATTTTTTCGAATACGTGTTTATCCAAACTTTTTTTTTATAATCTATCTATATGATCTTATTGAGCTCTCGTGATCGGAACTTTATGAACTCTCCGCGAAACTAAGGTTTCACAAACAAATATCATTTTCAGTTAGTTTTCCCATCAATAAAGGCTCAATGAAACAAGGTACAAAGTTTGCTAGTTAAAAAGTCACACGCTTGTTACAGTTTCATGATCGTCGAAATGGATTCAGATAAAATTTTGAAATTACCTGTCAAGTTCTAAGGATCCTTGCTATCGATAGCTCAAAAATCCTTGGTAAAGCGTGCGCGCAATGAAAGTTTCCCTCCCCGACATTGATAACAACACGGTAAAGCAGATAACGGAAGATTAAAACGATAATGTGAAGGATAACGTGTGTGGCGATTGAAAATTTACTTGGTCGGATAGTAATGAATCCTTTTAAATTTACAAGCTTAAAAAAATGTACTTATGCGTTGTTAATTTACCTTTTCTACGGAAAAATTGTTAAAGCGAAGAGCGCTATAGCAAAGCCACAGAAAAAACAGAGAGAAACTCCGAGAAAAACTACCAGGAGAGAAAGACACTAAAGGTCTCGCCAGCCGATCGACCTGTCGGCTGCACAGAAATAGCAATATTCCTTTGTCGTCTCTCTCTCTCTCTCTCTCTCTCTCTCTCTCTCTCTCTCTCTCTCTCTCTCTTCTCTCTCTCCTCTCTCTCTCTTTCTCTCTCTTTCTCTCTCTCTCTTTCTCCCTTGTAATTCAACGATCAAAATCGACGTGTACGTTCGAACACGAATTCCACTGAGGGAGACTTGTCTAATTGATTAATACGTAATTTTCTCAGTCTTTTGCGTAATATATATGTTACACTAATGAGAGTTACAATTTACCGAATGAGATCAAGCTGAAAAATGTGTCTAGTTTTCAAAAAAAGTTTTTCTTTACGAGCTTAGTCTAAAAAAAAATTCTAAAAAGATTTTGAGAGCACACATTAAGGGGCTTTTTCTTTTAGCCGAGTTATAAGCCTTTAAAAATTACTGTCATGAATGTATCTTACGGATGACCTCGTTCTATTTTCTAAACGAACCCTATATATATATGAACAATTTTAGTACGTTACAAAATTTATAACAAAGAGCGTTCAAAAGTTGAACGTATTTTTTTAAACCCTAAATATTTACGGCAAAAATAGCCATCAGATAAATATTTTTAAAAACACAGAACGTCCATGAATTATTATAGAACCATTGCGGAGATTACACGCAAAAAGAAAAAGAAAAAATAAGAACCGAAAGATATCAAAATTCAGCGCACAATCGGCCTCCCCAACGCACACACCTCACTCTTCCCTGTCCGACATCCATATGAAAAAAAAAATTATATATATATATTGCTCGGGGAAGCAAAAAAACGGTTAAGCTTGAGAAAATGCTTCAGCTTCTGAAGCTAAAGTGCGTACCAGAAGAAAAAAAAACTAAAGTTCCGCTGGCATTGCAGCGAAGCCACTCCGAGGCATTAGTTCTTGCCTCTCTCTTTCCTCTCGACCAAAAAATACGTGACACACACATAAACACTCACCGAGTCAAGCCACATAATAAACGATACCCCGCAAAAAAAAATAGCAAAGGAGGAATGATGATTTTTTTATTTCGCGTACTACTCCGTCTTACTTTGCCCTGCGCGCACACGTGTAATGGAATACATTAGCGAAGCAGCGTAAGCCCACTTATTAGCGTAACCCCACAGTGTGAGAGGAATACGTAGACACAGAGTGCACTACGACGATGATGTAGAGGGGAAGAGGGGAAAAGGTGTCTGTAAAAGAGCACAGTAAAGCATTTGACAAATAATTGATTGATTAGTTATTGTTTAAACTATTCTTTGTTGTAGGTTTTGAAGTGGATGCCATCAAAATCAAATCGTTTTTCATATTGAATCGTTGGACCATTCTTAAGTTTAACAATCGTAATTCGAAACTTTTACTGTTTGAAAATAATTTCCGTTATAATCAAATAAATGTAAGCTTTCATGCCAAGTTAAGCGAGTAATCTAATAATTATGAAATCTAATACTTATTTCGATGTAAAAGCTGTTTCTGGAAGGTTCAATATCTGAATCTATACCGTAAGGAAATACTACGGACTTATTCGTAAAATTTAACGATAATCCATTCAAACTAACAGTCACCTTCCAGTGACCAAAATACGTACGATGCCAAATCGAATCCAGCTATTCCAATTAAAACGAGAACATTGTCTTTCACGCGATGCGTATACGTTCACCATTATTGAAGACATATAGAAGATTATGTTTCCTAAAGAAGGTGTACAAACAACAGCTTTAGGTCGAATATTGATCGAATGGTTTGTTTACGTACACGTGTAAGCTCAAGTCCTTCGTTAAATCTCTCTTTTGTAAAGGAAAAAGTCTTACGAGTTGGCGATCTGATTGAGCCGACGACTTGTCTACTCATGCGAACAGGATTTCCAAGAGAACACGTGCAGGAGAGAGGATACCGTGAGATTTCGTTTAATCATTGAGAAAAAATGAAATGCTTAGAGTCTTGTAAACGTTCAGATTTTTCTATATCTTCATATATCATAGATAATTTCACTTAGCTTTAGTATTCATAGTACTTCTTAGAAAAGTTTTTTTTTAAATAAAATTCCAAGATATTTATACATAGGCTTTCTCGAAATAATCCTAAAATGAAATTCAATAACGGTCAAATTATCTAACTTGCAGTAGTACAAATTAGTTTTGGTCAGACGGCAGTTATCCAAAATCGATTATGCAAATTTTGTAAATTATATTATTTATACTTTTGAAATTAAGGTATTACGTAAAAAATCCGCCAATCATATAAATCAAAACGAATATTTAAAAAATATATTGTAATACAATGAATAAGTAGAAAGTAAACTGTTGATTTTGTTGAATTCACTTGAACAAAAAATAAAATCAACTATTTATCAACTCGTAATCTTCTGACTGTTTATAAACCATATTGCCTTTCAATCTGCTAGAATCCAATGTCCTACATTTTAGCAGTCCTCTTTCGCATATAAAGATCAAGCGCTTGACCTCTATAACTTGTACATTCGCCCTAATATCGACATCAATCGATACTCTCTTCTCCAAAAGTATATTTTTAATTCAAGAAAAAATTTCCGTCGATACTTTTCGATACCAAATTCGTGTCCTGTAACTGGAATCCTGTAATCCTGCAGATTTCTTTTCCAGAAATGTATTGATTACATAAGTTACTCGTTATTTGACATTAACCTCACAGTAACATTTAAAAAAAACGTGTTTCTTCCGGCCAAGTCGAAACATACACATACCTTAAAGATGTAGGTGATGACCCCCTTTTTGTCACCACGAATTAGCATGACTGACACGTCGTGAATGATGCGACGTGTATAACCCTGCCGTGGCTTATGTCTCCCTCGTATATGTAGGACGGACGGATGATCATTGAAAGCAACGTTCCACTATGCTCCTTCTATGTTTAGATGTGTGCGAGTGTGTCGACGGTTATTTATATGTCAAGATATTTCATCGAGATACGACTAACGGTTATTTTTTTATTTTCTGATAAAAAGGTCACAAAGGCTTTATGAATTCCTAATAAATTGAAAAAAAAAATTGATAAAAGACACTCTTTGTATTCCGATCAAAATATGTCATTTTTATCCCGTATATTCAGTTGAAGCAATGAATTTTTATCAAATTTTATGACCTAATTTCGACACTTGACTACGATTCTCGCCCGATATACTAGATCAACATTTCATTGAGATATACACATTCATTAAGTGAATTTCATGAAATTTGCAATTAGGATACCTCGAAAAATGTGAACGACATAAGATACACAGCACTCTTAGAACAAAGATTAAGAATGCTTGAATTTCGCGCGGTACACCGTGCAAAGGAGGGATTAGCATAACCGCGAGCACGGACAGAGTATAAAAATAGTCTACAATTTGCTTCGCGAAAAGTACATTTAAAGATTTGAAAAATATATAAAATATAAATGGAATAAATTTTCACTATCAACAACAAAAAATCGTTTTGAAATTCAATTCACGAAACAAAATGTGGAAATTCAATATAAAATTATTTCGAGGTCAATCAACTTAATTATTAATATTCAAAAGATAACTTGATAAAAAATATTTAAATTACAGATAAAGTATCGAGCGAGCGTTAAGGAGAAAAATTAATCTCGATAGTTCCAGTATGAAATCAGAATAATATTCGTACATCTTCAACAAAGGTCAATTAAAAGTAGTAAAAGATAATTTCATGATGAATCCCAAAAATGAAATGCTTTAAAATCTTTGTCGCAAGTGTGAATGTGCCATTTCGAAAACAAACTGAGTTGCCGGAATAGAAACAAATTTTCCGTTAATCGAAGAAGGAATGATGGAGGAAATTTCGTTAAATTACTTTCTAAATGAAAATAGACATTTGACAAGTCCGTTTTAGTATTGTAAAAGAACGCAGATAGAGGAAAAGGCATATATGAAAG